ATATTTAACCGTGAGACTAAAGTATCGAACCGAACCGAATTGTGAATTTTCTGTATCGTTGCACCCCTAGTGAACATCAATGAGCAAAGATAGACCTTGTTGATGAAGCTGCAGAGTGTCAGTGCATCTGATCAGCTCATCTAGTCTGTCACAAGTTACTTTATTAAATAAAATACTGTAGAGACACTTTAAATAAAACACTGTAGAGACACTTTAAATAAAACACTGTAGAGACATGGCCTCATTTCTTCTGACCTTTACTTCAGAGTTTTTTCTAGAACTTAAAGTTTCCTCAGTTTGTCTGAGGGTTACTTTCTGCTCTACATTTCTGTCTCAGGTGTCTCGGGGAGAGGAACGCGCCACGGTAGCGTGATGATGTTGTTTCCGGTCGGCTCTTTGATGTGGAGCAGCTGGTGGCGGCAGACGGAACAAGCCCCGCCCCCAGCAGAAGGCAGGCCTGTCGGTCACCGAGCAGCCGCAGACGCGCTGCACTCCCCGCTCCGTCCTGCAGCGGTACACGTTGTCCTGCTGCCGGTGTTCTGCTGCTCCTGGTTCTGACCCGTCGGTAAGTAGCTGCCCGCTCCTCGTGTTCCGTCCTGTCAGCAGCACGCGACGCTCGCATCACGTTTCTGGACCTGGCGCTGGCCGCGTGCGYTTGTGCCGTCCGAACATCTGGACCGGGATGTGAACGGGTTCTCCGAGTCCCGGTCCGGTTCCCACAGGTTGGGTGATGATCCACCAAGTCTGCAGTGAGCTTTGTTTGTGAGAGGGGAACCGGTGAGATCCAGTCAGAACCAGATTCCTGAGAGGAACCTTCAGACCAGCATCATCCTCTCAAGAAGTTCGGATGTGTCGCATTGATTAGAATACTGGACCGGACTGTGTGCAGCTGGAGGCACCGGGTCCAGTTCCCGCTCAGCACCTCTGAACAGAACAGTTACAGATCAAACAAGAGGAGGATCTGCTGGTGCCAGGTTCGGTTCGGTTCGGTTCGGTTCGGTTCGGTTCTGACGGTCAGAGGCTCAGATCTGAGGAGATTTTAAATGTTAGACTTTGTTTCATCAGTGAAACTGACTCATCTCACAGGAGGCAGTTTAAGACCTTTTATTTTCTGAAGAATAAAATCAGTTTAATGTTTTAACTTATGAACAGTTGATATAATGAACCAGACTGCAGCTGATTATTGATTTAATATCATTTATATGAGATATTCATTACAATTCATCTTCTATAATTAGACACTAAGTTCAGCTGCTGTTAGTTTTGTTCCAATAAAAGCAGCTTTGATTTGTTCTGTCAGCAGAAACCAACATTAATACAATTAACAGCAGTAATAAACTCTCTTTAGTGTGAATAATGTTTTATTACTAATCTTCAATAAAAATTGTTATTGTTAATAGTTAAACTAATGAAGAAACTAGTTAACTTTCTTTAAAGTGACATTTGATTAAAATTCTCAAGTCATTTCTAATGTAGACATTAAACCAGTTATTGTGAAGCTTTGTGTTCAGTGAATATTCAAAACAAAATGATCAACAAATGTACAATTTAAAAACTCACGGTTTTTATTGAAAGTCCTTTTAAAGCTATTAAAGCTCTCTCTCTCTCTCTCTCTCTCTCTCTCTCTCTCTCTCTCTCTCTCTCTCTCTCTCTCTCTCTCTCTCTCT